CCCCAAAACCCCAAAACCCCAAAACCCCAAAACCCCAAAACCCCATTGCCACTATCAAATATTGAGTCTTCGGGTTTAATCTGTAGAGTTTGACCACACATTGTTAATCAACATGCTCCTTGTTTTTGATGTCTTGAACAAGGACACTAATGCCATTGATCACTCGAAGTGTGCCATCTTCGTTTTGGGTGTACTGGATAGCTTCTTCGACGTTATTCTTGATTTCTTCCATATTTAGCTCCTCTGCTTGCTGCCTTTGGTCAAATGTGCCAGCTTGAGAAGACTGCTCAGAAGTGTTCATTGAGGTATTTCCGTCATCCTCGATGTCATAGAAATCGATGCATTCACTGACCATTCAAAAGAATAAAATCAGGCATGCGGATACTGCTAGATACTCAATACAGGAGTCAAGGTAAGATATCGTGTTTATATGAGAAATTTTCCCTGAAGGGATTCAATTTTGGGCCGCCTTTTGAGCAAATCCGATCCTTGCCTTCTGCTTGTCAATAATTACATAGTAATTCTTCAGAAATTTGCTGCCTAGATAAACCTTGTTTGTGAGAGCATTAAATTTAGATGTGATGATAGGGCAGTAATACAGCATTCGCTTGGAATGCTCTACTTGATCTAACTTTAGAGACGCAACTTCGTTTCATGGCACAATGTATTGGGAGATTTCAAACTTCACCATCAAGTTATTTCAAATTGATTACAAATGGAGGCATTTCTGTGAGGAAATCACTACTAATTTGGCTGATTTCTAGGGGGTTTCCGTCCAAAATGTTGTTTTCAAGTGATCAAAGCTGTGTAACATTGACATAAGCAGAGTCCTCTCGACACATGACGCTTTTTACTTCTCTTTTGATGTTGTTTAGGACATAATTATCAACTATAATGAACTCATACTTTGTATCAATGATTCCTTCAAGATTTCCTGAAATTGAGACTTTACCAATAGATAATTCCTGAATCGGAATGTTGTAATGTAAATACGAAGAATAAGGAACCCAGTTTATTTCGCCTTTCATCATGTTGTTATCAACCCCACCGACTACAAGGTAGCCTCCACCCTCTTTTTCATGGTTTGAGCAGAGCGAGAATACTCTTTCAGTGTTTGGATTGAAGAGACTTTGATAACTCGAGGGTCCGATTCCAAGAAACCCATTTGTCCCTTTGAAAATAAAATTTTTGTACTGGCTGACAATTCTCCCAACAGTTTGGCTGCCAAGTGTGTATTCAGGACTGAAGAAGACTTTATCTTTGGAAAGGAACCCGTTATATCTTATCTCGAGTTCTTTGTTATCATGGAAGAACTGGCACTCCTCGTTCTCGATGAACCCTCCATTACTGGAGTGGTCATCTTTATAAATACTTCATAACGAGTCGTACTCAGTTATTTTGGAAGCAGAGTTTGAGAAATCAGCAAAATACTTTTTTGACATCAGTCATGTCTTGCATGAGATATCTGACACGAAGGGGATCTCTGAGGTCAAATCGAGTTTGAGGTTGAAGAAGTCCTTTCCAATGTTCACCTTTACTATGTAATCAAAGCTAAATTCGCCTCGCTCATAAAACTGGGAGTCAGAGTCTTCCTCATTTAAGAGTTTTGAATTCGCTAATAAGATACTTGAATAATTCTCAAATTTAATATACGTCCCCATTGTGGTTACTGTAGTTTGGTTTTCAGTATCCTGGCTAGCTTCAGGAGCTACTGTGGACTCAGTCCTACTCAGGCTGAGGATGACCAATGCTCAAAGCACCAATAAGAAGTGCGTTTTTACCATACTTCTCTGAATTTGTCTAATTTTGATAAATCAATTATAATAATTGCCCTGGGGTTTTGGGGTTTTGGGGTTTTGGGGTTTTGGGGTTTTGGGG